TTATTTAAGAGTCTAAGAAAACATATTTTTTTTATTGTAATGCAGTCCATCCTCTATATCTGCCAGTTTGTAATACACACATAAAAAGAAACTAAGCTAATTTTGGGTCTAATTTGCAAACCAGCTACCTAAAAAATTGAAAACTGTGGAGACATATCTAATGTGGCATTTTGAGGGGCAATAAACAGAATCAACTTCTATCCAAGTTACACATATTTGGTTCAGACATGAAGGCATGCAGAGCGTGATGTGTGATCAGAGGCAAAAAAACAGGACCTGTCAGGTCTTCGCAATCAATGAAAAACACACGGAGTGGTTTTCTTCTGCTCCTGTGGGCTTCTGCTCTGAGCTTGTGTGAGCTTGTCATTTCATCAGCTCTTCCCAGAGCATGCAAATGAGCTGTAAAACCACAGGAACCTGTCTGGGTTAGTTCCTCCTTTCTTCAACTTCGAAAAACGGCAACAATGGAGGCATTACCATTTATGTTAAACGACTGTCTCTAAAAGATCGTTTTGGGTCCTTCTCGGCTGAAGTTATGCAAAGTGCTTATGAGCAGTGGGTGTCCTTCCTGCAGCGGACAGCGGTCAGAGCGGTCTTCATTAGCCCCCGTCCGACTGCTGCATCTGAATATTTCATTTAAGAATTGCAAATCTTACAAATTACACGAGTGTAGCCGCCACTTGCGCGTCGTTACAGGGCTGAATGGGGAGATAAGTGCATCGTCGAGCCGGCTGTTTCTGGGGTCAAAACCAGAATATAGAATGAAATCCTCCCCAGTTTTCCGAGCAGAAAGAAGACCTAAATCCTAAATCCTGACTCCTCCAGTCACACTACTGGATCTAACGACTCTATGAAGACATCCAGCTCCGCCACAGATTAGATTAACTAACAAACATTTAATGGAGACGTTTTGACACGGTCATATTTTTGGATCGGGCAAAGATTAGAATAGAGATTACGATAAGTGGTTTAGTGGATGTTTGCCCCCCCCTCTGCTGTGCTACTGCCACCATCCAGGGCAGATATGAGCAGAACTCTGCATAAAAAAACAGCAACAACTCGACTGCTTTCAGCTTTCAGCGCCGTGCTCTTCAGTATTTTGAAACCCACACATTTGAGGAGAGAAAAGAGAACTTGGGCTCCAAGGACACTTGACAGTTTCAGGCAAAGTGGTGAAATGTGCTGATTAAGGGCCCTCATCAGACAAGTGACTGGAATGGCTTCGGAAGGACATCCGTCAACAGTAAATCAAAGCACAGAGAGAAAAAAATCGCAGCAGATAGAAAGAGATGGAGAATTGTGTTTAATATTTACTTATTTTTATCACGGGCTGAACGGGAGAGGGGGGGTTTAGCAGTCAATCAAGAGCTGGCCGCACCTCCGCTGTTCTGTCTCCATCTCCACAGAACAAGTTCAGGCACAGAATGGAGCTGCAGGTCATCCAACACACGGCCCCTGCAGAGGGCCGGCGCAGACAGCTGGACAGATTAAAATAGGAGAATCTGTTCGGGCCCGGTGAGTGACAAATGGGATTGAGAGACTTTGTGTGTAGACACAGCTGAATATGAGCCATTCGGATTTCATCTGGCTGACTGAGTCGACACCAAAAGGCAGAAGAAATAACTACATCTATTCAAAAAACTAAAAAAAAGGTCTGTGTACAGTGTGGAGAACTGTGTTCTCTTCAACTGATGAAAGGAGATAATTATCATCATTAATGTAAAGATATTTCCATACACTCTTAGGGTCTCTACCAACCCCAAAAGAAAGATACCTTCTCAATTACAGGTTAAAACACTTTGGTATATTAAGATTTTTTTTTATTCAGCCGTCTCAATTAACCTCTTCATATAAACATCTTTTAAAATTTTAATAAAGACAACGCAGACACATAAAAGTCTTTTTAATTCATTCTAATGAAGATAAGATGAGGAATGGTGAAGCCGAGACTTTGTAATGATATATTAGGTAATTTTCTGAATCCAACCTTATTTACTGAGGCTGTAGATTAAAATGAATAACAAAAACTACACACCATGGGACCTTTATCAACCTTTTGGAGAGGATGTAGTTTTGAACAGGACTATCAAACTGGTGTTAGATGATGATGGAATAGTCTTTCTATGTTAGTGATTGCGTGGATATGAAAGGTGTTGGTGTTAAGTGTGAACTTTAAGTTAGCTTCTTAAGTTTCAAGTTGATCCAGGTTATTTCCAAATATTTTTTAAAAATAAAGTCTGGTCAAAGTGGCTCCCGTACACACACAAATGTACATCTGTGACATACTGTATTCCATCTTCTATGAGCTTTCCTACCAACTCATTAGCCGACTGCCTCATTAGAAAGCTGCCAGCTTCTCTCAGCTTCAGAGCAATCTGTCAGGACTCAAAATAGAACTATTCCACACTCCGTGGATTAAAGTTTGCTTCCTAAATCTTCGAAAACAAATTTCTGTATACCGTAAGGAAATAACAAACAGGAAACTTTCAGTCCTCTAGAAACAGTTGCGTTTACCTGTTTGCTGTCTGCTACTTCCAGCATTTATCACTATGTACTTTCGATATGTCAATGTTCATAACCGGCCTTTGTTTTCTGCTCAAGTACAGAAGTTTCTCTCACAAAACATGCATCATTGAAGGCATTTTATCATCTGGAACCATATTGTTAGAAGAGAACCCGTATAGCCTCTGGTATAGTTTGACCAAAAAAATCTCAATCTAGCAGTCTGCATAAAAAACCACAACATTCCTCACTGCCACCTGAAAGCTGCCCTCCTGAAATCAGCCATTAAATTGAAGCAATTTGACCCATTTTGTTCATTTAACTGGCTTTTAATGAAAAGAGAAATGATTATCTCTGTGTGCTAAAGACACACAAGGAGCCGATGAACAAATGTGAGAAATGCACTAAGCAGACATGAGCACTGCAAAACGTTTAGATCAAGTCTTCAGCTGCCCTCTCAGTCAGCGCCTGCCAATGGTCCGGTGTTAATGTGCTCCACTCCACTGATCTAAATGGAAATTGGGTCGGACGCTACAGCACTGATTTACATTTAGATAAGTGGACTTTAAATTCCTTTCAAGCAAATCCTCATTTTCATACAAATGAATTAATTGACTAATTATGATTGTTTACCAGATCAATAAGACAAGAGTTAGAGCCCTAAATGGTCCAGTCTGATGTTCAGACTATTATTACTCAGAAATTACACTTTATTTACTGTTGTGTTAAAACTATAAAGAAACACCAATACAACCAAAGTCACAAATGAAGCTGCTCTCAGCCACATGTTTTTCTGTCTCTTCTCAGACAACTAAACACATCAGAAACTTGCAGACTTTCAGTAAAATCAGCTTTACACATGATCTCCTTAAAAGAAAGTTGGAACTGACTAATTTGCTTGAACTTTTTCTTACAGTCTCCAGTGATAAGCACATTGGTCAAGAAACCATTTCACAACTGCAGTTTAAATCAACTACAACAGCAACACAAGTATCATCTTCCCAGTTGCTTTTATATCATTTCATTTGAACATTTAACTGACATAATATATTATGTTCTGTTCTAATAGTCTTGCCTCCCCAATCATCCTAAAGCTTGAATGTCCCACTCCAGTCCTTGAGGGCTGCTGTTCTGCAGGTTTTATACGTTTCTTGTCCTCTACGCATGCAATTCTAATCAAATAGATCTATTAAAAATATTGTCAAGCCCTGCACAAACCTGCTAATTGCAGTTTGACGTCAGTCAGGTTTGTTGAAGGACGGAAACTTCTTTAAAAAATGCAGGACAAAACCCTACGAGGATCGTCTTGAGACATCCCTCGTCTAAATGGTTGAAATCAGCATATGAGCACTCACGGCTAATGGACTATAGGTTGTAGGTGAAGGTAAATGTTTTACAACATAGAGCACGATTGATAAAACATGCAATAAGTTAAAGAAACAACAGATCTTATCCGTATATCCTAATGTATACCGATTTTTTTTAATATACAATAAAAAAATAACCATCTTTTGATTCAGTTTCTTGCTCCCATATATATTTGTTCCATCACTTCCTTGTAAGAAATTAAGCAGGTTATAAACACGTTAAATGCCTTCAAAAAGCCAACTGAAAACAAATGAAAATCCGTAATGCATTCTGTAGAATCGGTCACAGAAAAAAAAGGAAAAAAAGAGTGAGCAGTGATGGGTGGTTTGGATGGCCAGTCTCAGCTGTGTGGTCTACAGCTGCATCCACGGTTGAAGTGCACAGATCAGATCCCCCACTTTTAAGTCCATAATAACAGGACAGCAGCAGAGAGGTGTGGCGCTTCTTGGGTGGGGTGACAATCCTGAGCATGGACAAGTTAAAACCACAGCAGATTTACACCCAGAAGAGGAGCAGCAATCAAACCGGCAACCGTTCCAAACGACTTCAGGCTCAAAAAAGAAAAGGAAAAAAACATCACTGTGACAAACTACAAGTTGGTGCACTGACCCAACAGTGACCAAACACCAGCTAACCGGTGGCACAAGTTAACTTTGTTAGTTTCATTCACAAAAAAAAACACCATTGCTCCTGCGCACTGCCTCCCCACATCTCTGCCCCTTACAACAGGACAGGGCTGTAAATATATATTATTGGGCTCTTCTAGGACAAAACCGAGTCGGCTAGCCATTGAGCAAGCCCACCTACTTTATACTTAGCAGATGTATCGTTAGCATATAAGCTAACAGGGACGTGGATTCCGGGGACCGAGTCGACGGCGGGCTTTGAAGTTCCTGCCTTCCCCCTCCGGTTCGGTTCAGACAAGCCGACGCACCGGGGGGGCTTAAGACCCCGACTGGAGGCTAAAATTGCTCCGGGAGAGTAACTAACGGCATGCCACACGATAAAGCAAAGATAGGATGTGATTTAAATGTTGCTTTGCTGATGAGAAACTCCACAAATATCAGCTAGCACTACATTTAGTGTCTGGAGAAAAGGATACCAACAGGACGGAAAGATAGCAACCTTACCTGCGGGATTAATTGTGTTGTGAGAAGCCAGAGTTTGTTTAAAGACACCGGCAGTCCTTGTTTTCGGGTAGTCGGTTAGTTTAAGATACTCCCGCTACGCCTCCGGCTCGATAACGGTCAACCAAATACAGTTTGACTACTCTTCTTCACAGCCACAACAGCGACTGAATACAGTTCCAGGTCTGCTTCTCACTGGGTAGATTCTAGGAACCTCGCGTCCTATCGCGAGATAAGATGAGAGCACGGGGATGTCTGCCAACCAATCAGATAAGCCGACTAGACTCGAGCATTTGTTTTTAGAGCGGAGGAGAGATATCCTCCTTAAAAGATCTACAATTGGACGCGTCGTGATTTGAAATCGCAATACTATAAATACTGCTAAATATATGTTTTATATACGTTTTATATGTTATATATATGTATATGTATTATATAAATATTTATATAATAAAAACTTGAACCTGCACATCCACTATTGCATCCTTGTTATTGTGTATTTCCTTACATCTCTATTTTGCCTCTCACTGCCATAAATAATTCACTTTTATCTGGTCAACAGATGGAATAATATTAATCTCCAGTGTAATACGGCAACATAAGTGGTGACAAATCAAGTTTAAAACTGTGACTCCTGCAATAGAGGAACATAATTTAGGGATTTGTTGTTTGAAACTGTAAGTGTCCCTCTCAAAAGCAAGCCACAGGACTCATATTTGTGATTCTGTCATGAGCAATTATGAAAATATCCAGTCAGTGTGGCGGCCACCACTGTGACCTTGTCTTCTTAAAACTATTAGTACTTTAAATAGCATAAAGGACCTGCAGATTGATCCTGCCTAACAGCATTTTGCTTTCACACTAGATATGCTACAGTGCTAATAAAAGTGTCTTCTCGCCCTGCACACGTTTGTTTCCTCTCAGACTTTTTTTTTCGCCTCTTACAGATTAGTTGCTTATCTTTGCTATAGTTGCTTTAGCTTCCTGCAAATTTGCTCTGGATTATGGTGAGAGATTAGAGTGTAGGAACACTTGTGTTGATTGTCTTGTCTATGATATCTCCCATACAGATTACAAATCTTCCCACGTAACTACAAAGGGTCAGTACTTCATACTGCCAAGGCAGAAAGCAGCTCAAGTTTTTTGGACGTGGAATTTTTAATTATCTTTTTAAATCATTAGGACATTTCAGTTGGGACTTTAGAAATATTCAGTTATCCATCCATCCATTTTCCCAGACTTCTTACTTCCAAACGAGGTGGCGGGGGGACTGGGGCCTATCCCAGTGTTCAATGGGAGGCAGGGTCACCTGTAGACACACAGAGACAAACAACCACGCACACTCACTCCTAAGGGCAAAGTCCAATCAACATGCAGGTTTTTGGATGATGGTAGAAAGTCGGAGGCGCTGGAACCAACCACCACACCACCCATATTTATTAGTCATTAGTTATAGTCATTCCAAAAAATATTAAATACCCCAGAGGACACAATAAAAATAGAAGAAAATAAAATTCAAGGTTGAGTACGAATATGACTGCAACTCACATGAAAATATCAGTTTTTCTGTTTTCTCTGTCAATGTTGCCTGTTAAACTCAAAGTGGACGTGTTTCAAACTTTTAGAAAAGATTACATTTTTATACATTACATGTTACATATTTAATTTGACCTAAAAGAAATAAGCGGCAAGACAATGGATGGATGGATACTTCACTTTGTTAAAATGCAAAAACCTCCAGTCTGTTTTTATTTTCTGTTTAGCATTTTCTTAATTCGATGTATGAAATTATGTTTGACAATTTAAGTGAATTTGACAATTTAAGTGAATTTGAAATATAGAGATTTTCGATTGAGTGCTTCTGTACACCATACAAAAAAAGAATCTTGAATAGATTTGTGGTTGTAGTTGAGTTTAGAGAATAAAATTACAAGTCCCTTGGCCTGAGTAAACTGATCGGGTCGTATAGTTTTTGTGTTAGTGCAGGGAGCTGCAGGGTGATGTGGCTCTGGTTGGTACTTTTCTTTTGGGCTCTGTGCAAACACCTTAGGTCTCTGCTCACTGATTTTTGTCAGATAGATTCTGAGGATCACCTTTGAAAACAAATATAAAGAAACCATATTGAATCAGGTTTCACCATAAGGTTCCCAGGTTTTAACACAACAAATGTAGTTACCAAAACAAGTAGAACAAATTCTAACAAGCAAGGAACAGTCTCACAAAGTGCCCTTTTGCACACCATTCATTTTCACAGCTAAAATGCAAATAGTCTCCAGACTGCTGAAGTCATGAGAGGACCACTGGGGGCCGGCTGTTAGCACAGAGCCTTTCAGCTGCCCACTGAAACGCAGTTTAAATGTCCTCAGTTTGCTCCATGGTGCAGTAGAGGCCCTGGAGGAGAAATCAACCAATCCCGGACGGGCCATGGCATATCTGAAAACAGACCTAAACCTCAGACTAAGATTATATTATAAGATTAAGAAAGGACTCGCTGAAAAAATACTCGATTACTGGATAATTGCTAATATATTAATTTAAAAATCTTCTTATTTTGGGCAATTTAAGTTGCCCAAAATATAGCTTTAAAATGATTCACTTCCTGTGAGTCCTCTGTGTTTGTTTGACCTCTGCTCCTTTCATTAAACCTAGTGTTTTTAGATTTTTATCGGGTTGTTTCCTGGGTTTGAAAAGCAGTGTAACATTACAACAAAGTGACTACAGCTACTGTCTTTTTTCCTTCAGCTCATTAAGAACGTGTGCCTAGTGTGTGTATATCTCTCTAAGACACTGATTGAGTGCCTTATCTTTAAAGTTTGACAGAGTGTGACCATCTCATCAGGTTTATTATCCTTTTCTAGACAAATTCAAAATGGTTTGGCTCTAAAACATGGATATAGAGTCAATCATTTCTCCAAAAAAGGAAACGGAAAGGTTAATCTTTTATTCATAGGGTTATTCAACTTTTAAATAAAGTTTCATGAGGATGTGTTCATGCTGTGCAAAGGTTTTGTGATGCTTCTTTAAAGAGTGCTGTGAGCCTGAATGGATCCTAATTATATGATGAACACCAGAACAAGTCAAGCAGATGGAGATAACTGGATGCTAAAAGCTGTGTTCATGCATTTAAGCAGAAGAAGTTTCAATATTTTGCAGGTTTTCTATCCTCAAAGTCTGCCTACATTATCTTTACCAAGCTATGATTATATATTATATATTGCAGTTTCAAGGTTTGTATATGAGTTGACGTTAGAATTTCACTACTGATGTAATTATTTGTAAGTAAGTAAAGACAGTGTGCGTTACGTGTGTGTAACACTGTTGGAGACTATGTACTTTTAAGGTGAACTGCTTGATGATATGCTGATCCAGATCAAAATCTTATCATAAAGAAGAACATTATTATCCAGTTTTGGGCTCTTTAATTTACTTCAGTGATAAGTCAATGATAACAGCTCATTTCTGAAGTCAACATCTTGATAATCTTTGAGATTCATCACGTTCTGCACTGAGAAGAAGCTGTTTGTATGATAATCAAAAGATAAATCCAACAAATTTAGAGATTAAAACTTTTTAAAAAACTCAATAGATAAAAACATTATTCAACACAATGGTCTCAAACATAATTTTTCCATCTAGATAGAAAGATAGATTACTTTATTCATCCCGGAAGGTAAATCTAAAAAAAACTAATCTACATTACTGGAAGTCACATGGATAAACTTCTTAAGAGAAATTCAAATTGAGTAAAAGAAATAGACTTATGATTGAGTAGTGGAGGTGAGATTTAATGTGAGTTGTGCCTTTTTGCCATGAGGCTGGAGGGGTGGCTGGAGGGGACTCTGACTCTCCGGGGGCCTGAAAAGCACCAACTCAAAAGAGACGGTGCAAGATAAGGTGCTCATATCCCACCATTTATTTGATCTGTGCCTATTTGTATTCGTGACATGTTTCTCATTTAAACTTTTGGAAGTGCAGGGAAGGGGGGGGGGTGCTTTAATGCTATGCTCTCTGTGTCTGATTTTAACCTCCTGCTAAAGGAAAATAAACCCACAGTGGGCTGTGCAGACAGAGATAGAGATAGAGAAGAGGAGGTCTCACTCAAGCGAAAGCATTTTGTTATGCAGCTCTATCAGTCAGAACTGCATCATTTTGTGTCCAAAGGTTTTTTGCCACTTCTTACTTAGCAAAGGAATAAGCTAGGATTAGTGTGATACAATTTGCTGTAATTAAGGAGGTTCGGCAGGCTTGTGAAATACGCAAAATCCACGGAGACCGTTCTGAATGGCAACAATTTGTTAGTTGGATTGCTGATTTACATTCGTGGTCCTTGACAACAGCACAGATGCACAGATGTGTTGCTAACAGAAGGAGAAGGGGAGCAGAAGGAAACGATCAGATGCTAATTTCAAAGCGCGGCACCATGGGACGTGGTGTTGGAGTCGGCTTTGGAAACCATCAAAGAAGCGATTTGCAGACACAGATTTATGTACAGTGACATTTTCATTTATTTTTCTTAAAAAAAATACATTTAGGGATTAATTACTGCTGGAAAAGTCTGACAGAGAGCAAATCAACATACACTCAGAGTCACACGGTGAAAATACTCAATCAGCACCCGAATAATTGCCTCTCAGTCACAGTAACATCGGGATTCCTGTCAAAGGAACACCGGGATTCCTGTTTTCCCAGTAAAAAGATAAGCAGGAATCCTTTGGAAGTTTTAATACTGTGTCTGTGCGGTAGGACCCAGAGCATTAAGTGCGATCCTTTCTGTTATATCCTGTGAAATGGGACCACTCTGCCATATTTTGGAGCAGGAATCTTCTGTGCCTGACTTCACTGAGTAAGCATCATTATGAAATTAACATCAGCCAAGAGCGAAGTGCAGATTTTACAATCGATACAACCAACAGACTATAAGAGGAAACTGCATTAACTGAGTGAATTCCCATTTTCTCCCCTCAGTCCGTTCACTCATTAAAATGGGAACACTGTCCATTCAATATTTCCTTCAGAATTTGAACATCAAATGCCCACACATTTTTGTCTGTAATAAT